GAAACACTGCATCTGCCTTGGCCACGTTACTCAGGCCCTTACTGATGGCCCACTCCCTCCTGGTGATCCTCCCTCTGCAAGCAGTGCATGGGGGAGCAACGCTGGCCTGTGTCTGAGGTTAGTAAGAGTGTACCTAGGAGAATGGTAGAAAATAAGAAGGGATTTTGGAGATCGGAGGCTTTATAGGCATCGTTTAATCTTGGCTATAAAAAATGACATCCTTGCTCAAGAGAATGCAGAAGGCAGTACAAGGCCCGTCACTACAGCTGCCACCCTGGCATGATTTCACAGAGCCAAGACACTGGCACTTGCTAAACTTTGAAGGCCTGAAGTAGCTGAGTGTAGAGAGAGAGAGACATCTTTAGTTTTGTCACATGCAGGGAAACATTTTTACTCATATAGTTATGTCTGTTTGTAGATGTACCTGTCTCACTGTAACACTGGCAGGCCCACATATCTTTCGATTAACATGATAAGAATTAGCAGAAGCTGAATGGCTCTTTGCACTTTGGTAGTGCTAAAATTTTATTTACCTTGGAAGAATGGATAGCTATTGAAATATTTCTTCAGACCTTCTGGGCTGTAACAGAATATAGAATTATATCACAACCTTACCAAAAATTGTGGAGTCAGAAGTAAGAGGAGATACAGAAAATATATTCCTGAAGGAAGGATTATAAGATCTGGAAGTTGCTAGCTTGAGCAAAAGACTGAGTTAAGATAGGGTAGCACTTTCTGTATGTATTAATTAAGGTTGATAGAGAGGTGCAACTGATGTATCTGCAGGCAAATGGTTTTCCAGCTTTATCAAGGATATGATGGGCTTGAATTGTAGCAAGGGAACTACAATTTAGTTTAGAGATTAGAGATAACACTGGAAGTAAATTGCCCAAGGAGGCTGGGGAAAAACAAAACAAAACAAAAACTCCAGTGATGGAGATTCTGAGAACTTCTGCACAAAATGGTTTGGATCCTGTGACAGAAACATGGATTAGATGACTTCTTGGATCCTTGCTGGCCTATTACTCTGTTATTCTATACAGAGAAGTGACTTGAGAGAGAGTGCTGATGTATTTGATAAATTCTCTTGCTAGCACCTCTTGTTTTTTCTAATAACAAAAAATGCAAAATATGGAATATCTCAAACATCTCAAACACAGCTTTTCTTTTTATTCAAAGTAGAAGAAAAATGTTTCTACATAAAATCTTTTTGCCGCATGAAATGGCAGCTTCGTTTTTAATTCCAGTGATTCACTGATAACTTCCTAGAAAACAGCTGGATAAAACCATACGGTAAGTAATTGCAGCGTGTGGCTAAAAAGTAAAATATGGCAGATCTGATGCGTGGAATTGATCACTGCACCTAGAGGAGATGGTGAAAAGGGAGGTTAAAGGCAAGCAAGCTCAGCTTCTGTAGCCTTGATGAGACTGGAAGCTACAGCACAACCAAAGGCTTGGTCTGCAGAAGCAAAAAACAATTACCCACGTGTTGTATCTCACTTTAATGTCTGTTCTCCCCAATTACAACATCGCAGCAGATTCCTTTGAATCTCCTTTGTTCTGTTTAAATAATTTATTGTCACATCTTCTCATAGGGAAAGCAATGTTCCTAACATAGGCCTTATTCCATGGCAAGATAGCAAAGCAAAGGACCATTATTTCCATTTTACGTTAGAGATGTTGAAACACAGAACAAACGACACCAAACAAAAGCTGTGATTCCCTAACGCAGATGCTTGTGATTGCTAGCAGAGGGAGGTTGCTAGACTGACAGTCAAGGGATAGGGAAAAGGATTATCCTTCCCATAACAGAGACTGCAAATAAGTTTAAAATGCTGGAGGAATTGTTGCCTTAGACTAGCCATCTAATCACTGATTTAAAGAAAGGAAAACCCAAGCTCTTAACTTCCAGGTCCTTCATCTTCTCCATTTGTCCTATGTTGTTCAAATTTTATTTTTTCTGAAAAAGAAGATCTTTCCTCTTCCCTTCAAATATTTTCTAATTTTCAAACGCCTAGTCAGTTATAATTAACACTAACCATAACAAATTATTCAGCTATGTCACTGCTAATTACCCTGTTCCTATCTCGTTTCAGTTTTGTTAGCCTGGCATTAGGAAATATTTTGCATGATTTAAGCAGTTTATTGTGCCACCAGTTCTGCTGCCTATCAATTTCACCTGGCGGATTCAGCTCTAAGTAGCTCAGACACCTCAGTGACAACACACTAATGATGACAGCGTTAATTGGACAGCACATTGCTTAAAAAAGGGGGAGAGGAGAAGTCATGTGGTGAATGGTTAGAGTTGTGACTCTCTCTTCCTATGAATGATCATATTCCGTTTAATGATCACTGAATGAGTAGTTATAAAAGGTATAAGAACATCTCCATATCATCACAAATATAAATATATATCTGTGGATGCATCTATATCTACGCTCACATATATCTTTCCTGGCTCTGATCTCGTGAGCTGGCACATTATAAAGACTTGGACTAAAATTCCAAGTTATTGACAGTTCTATTGAACATAACTAAATAAATCCTTCCTCCCCTCCCCCAAAAGCATCTAGATTTCTGTGTACAATAGTGATTAAAAATTACCAGTTTTAAAAATGAGCATCTAATTTCCAAGCTGATTCAGGCTTTTCATGATTGGTATGTTATGTTTTTGTGCTGTGACTCATTGCGTGGTCAGATTATATGCTACTAAGTAGAATATTTTACAGAAATCTTCTCTGCTAATATCTTACTAAGCAACCTTTGTCAACAACAATATCGGGAGAGATAAAATTTACTTTCTGTAGGCCCAAATGATATGCATCAATTATATTATTTTCCTTGATTATTTATTAATTGGATTCTATATTAACCATTCCATTAACATTCTCTAAATCCATCTCAGGCTCACAAGCCTGTAATTAGTTGGATTATCACATTTACTGCTAAAAATGTCATTAGTTTTCTTCAAGTGCTCTGAAAGCTGCCATAGTTTCAACTCCAAAATAACTGAAAAATATCTGTTTGTCTAAAATAACAGGATACAAATTACACAAAATCACAGATTTTAAATTCTGAATGTTAGTATCAGCTCATTAATGTCCTACTAAATAAATACTGGAATGGAAATATTTAAGTCTCAGCTGTACCAAGTAACTGTCTTTCCCAAGATGCACAGCAGAAGTGCTTGTTGATTAGTTCTCTCTTCTAGGAACTACTGAATCTAACATTTCCTTATAGTAAGAGATCACTATCAGAATCACTACAGCTTTGGTTTGTCCAGGGGAAAAAAAAATCTTACTCAATTTACTCTAAAGAGTATTGACAATACTTAGCTTTTTTTATCTGTTTGCTTTCTTGATTAAGCTTGTAAGTTCTTAACCTTTTGCTTGTAATCAGTAGTTTTTTTTTTTCTTATTTATGCCATTTTAATTGTAAATCTGCTTGATATTTCAATTGAAGTGATATTCCTTTTGAAAGAGTTGCTTCTTTTGATTAACACTTAGTGAAATATTCTTAATCTGTTTCTAGTTAGCATTCATAGTTTTCTGTACAATTATATTTTCTTCCAAGTGTTGTGGTATCTAATTGTTTTGCCGTTAGAAGAACTGACTCATTTTAGACCTACAAATATTGCAGTAGTTTGGATTTCACTTATGTTTGCAGATAACAAATGTAATTTATCATAATTCCTTCTATAAAAATTACCACTGATTTTAATTTTGTGCTCTGCTTGTTTTCAGCTGCTAAGATGACTTGTTACAGAATCTGTAATCAGCAATCTGTTGTCTATAAAATTTTTTTTGGTAATCCCATCTTCACATATGTTACTCAGAATATAGTTATTCATGATAGTGCTGATTTTTCTTTTTCCTCTTTGTTGCACGCAGGTGCAATTGTCTTGGCACTTTAATTCAATTCAGTAGCCTGCAGTAGACCCCAATTAGTAAACTACTATTATGGCACTGATTTTAGAAGCATCTGGTATTGTATTGCTCTTGTCAGCGTTTCAGAAACAAGCAATATAATTTTTGATATAAATGGCCATTTTTCTGTATTTTTTCTATGTTGCTCATTTATAAGCACCTTCAGCTGTTTTTGTTGTTTTAACAATCCAAAAATGTGACTTAACCCCAGCAGCTTTCAGTGTTACCAGCAAGGTGGAACTTCTGGTCTTAAATGAGCAATCGCAGTTTATCCTAGTTTATAGCCCAAACTCCCAAACTCCCAAAGTTGCTGTGAACACCATTAAAGCACCTCTTTGCTATCTTCTGCTGTCAGGGTGAGATCAGGATGCTGAATCCCCCAGCTGTGGGACTCTTTGAAAAACTAGGATAGGCTTTTTATGACTGCTTGAGCCCAACTGTGAGGAAGACATGAGGAAGCGGACAGGGGGAAACAGATAGCAACATATAAGTGTGCATCACATCTCAGTCTCATTTCCAGGAACACAAGAAATAAGAATAATCCCAAGAAATACTTCAATTCTAATGAAGAAAAAAAAATTAAGAGATGTTTCCAGCCAGCTTTGTTGCTCAACCTACTTTCTGAACGATTGCACCCTCTAATGGGGTAAAACAGAGTGACTTTCAAAGCAAACTTTTTTTGTTCATATTCTTCCAGTTCTTACAAGAATAGTACAGCAGTCCATTTATGTTAATAATAACAGAAGCATTCTCTTGCTGAGTTTAGATTACAGGAAAAGTGTGAAAATCCAAGAACTTCATGATTCATCTCTATTCATTGCTAGTGAAAGGTGTGTAAATAATTTATATTCATGGTGAAGCAAAGGGAATTTTAACAAAATCCTTGAAATGAGAATTTATTTCACTTGTAAAGCTCAGTTCAGAAAAAAATGTATGATGTTTTGTTTTTCTTACTGTATGCAGTAGCTTCAGCTTACTAAAGCGTCGTGCGGAAGCAAAACTTTGTATAAACAAAGTTGAAATGAAACAGATGATGTCATAACCATGACGTCATGTCTTGTCCTACAGGTAATTCTCTAATGGACCAATGAAAGCCAACGATGACAAGTTGTGGTCAACAGTCCTTGAATGTGCTGATGGTTCTGCTTTCCTTACTCTTGTCAGCAGGTAACTTTTGTATCAAAAATATATCTTTCAATAGTTCAAATTTAATCCTGGTTGCTTCAAAACTAGTGAGATAAAATGGATTGTTCATTGAGTAATAAATAATCAGCTAGTAATTGGAAGTTGGAATTTGAAATTCAATTCAAAAATCAGTTTAAGAAGGCAAAAGTAATGGGACATTGGCAAGGAAAAGCAAGCTGACATTTTACAATTTTTGGTTTCAAAAATATTATTTAATTACTCATCTTAAAAAATAAAAGTCTGCACCACTATACAATCCATTTTGCTAAATGAGCATTTATAGAAAACAGAGCAAAAGACTATCTATTGAAAACAGACCAAACAGAGTTCCAAATGTACATTTTTATACATGCACACAGGAGTATGTATGAGCAGGTAAAGGACTAAAATTGGAACTTCAACTTTTCTTGTGATAGCTTACATCAAGTGCAATGTACTTATCCTGCGTATATGTAAAAAAAGCACATTACACGAATAGTATGTCATTTTCCCAATCAATATTATTCAATGTAAACATACAATTTAATCTGAAGAATTCACCACTTGACCAGGGAGCGAGCCCAGAGTTTCCCCATGACATATTTGCTTGGTCTTCCCCAGTCGTTTGCTATTAGCGCACGTGCAGAAATCTGTCTGTCATTACACTGAGAATTAATGGAGTCCTATGATTATTAGTTGCATTTTCTCTTCTTCAGGTGATGTCTATGACATTAAGATTTTCTGTAATGATGGATTTTTTTTTTTAATAGAGGATTCTCAGTCCAAATAATTTGGTCTTAGGAATTTTGTGCTTCTAGCACAACCTCTTCTACTCTCCATTCTTGAGGTGCTTTTAATTCAGAGAGATTTAATTTTGTTCACCATTTCTCCTTATTCATATTCCCAAGCACTATATTTGTATTTTCATACTCCAGTAAGAATTGTTGGTGTACTGTTACCCTTATAGCACTCAGTATTTTATTCTCATTCACTACTTTAACATTAAATGCATTAACATGCATTTTGTTGCCTGCAGTCTTGTTGTGCATTTGTAAGCATTCTGTTAAAAATATAATATTAACAACTTAACCACTGCTCTGCCTAATCTGAAAACACTCTCTTGATTTACAGTCCTTCCACTGATATCCCTATGTATGGCGCTGCATCCCTAGTTATGTAATACCCTCTGCTGTGGACTAGAATCAGGGATAGCAGCCTCTTCGTCATTTTTCAGGATAAAGTCTTTTAGAAGGTTTTTTTTCCCTGGTCCATAAATGAAGCCAATGATTTAAGAAGAATTCAGTGCATATAGCCCAGGAATCACACAGCATAAATCTTTTCCAGCAGCTTCAGCCTTTCTGGACTTTCTGATCATTTTTATTAGGTTTCCAAACCCTCCCCATTCTTTTTAGGGACATTCTAGCAGAGATCTCTTGAGATTCCACTTCTACAAGCATTTTTCTTAAGACAGTTTAGTTGTCCATGCACCAATTGAATGGGACACTAGTATTACACTATGTGGGCAAACAAAGATAGTTAGTCACTACTTTATGTACACTTGTTTCCTCAAACCTACTCATACAGCAAGTGTTCTGGCTTGGCATTGTATTAGGAGATGAAATACGCTGCCTTTGAAGTGCAGCTTCTTTCTTTATTTGAAAGTAATTACGTAGAACTTTTACATAGTTTTTCTATAAATGCCAGAAATTTGTCTTTGTGAATATATGCCTTACCTTCTCACTGATTTTCAGTTATTAGTATTCTATTTTCTAATATTTATTACTAGCATGTAGAATGCAGGCTTAATCTGGAATCATCAAAAGCCTTTCATGCCAAGCTAACTCTGCTTCCTGGGGATTTTTATTAGAGGCATATGTAGGTGTGGGTTTAGACCCTTGCTAGCTTATACCCCCATTTTACAAACCAGCACAAATATAAAATATTTGTACAAGATGTATCAGCTTTCAAAAAGGAAAGCTATTATGTTCATGCAGTGAGAGCAGAATTAGAGAATGCTGCTCTTTCTGAAATGTTACAAACATCATTTTTAAACTGAGCTGAAATGAAAATCTAATGGAGATTACTTTTTGACTTCACTAGCTTTACAGACTTCTGTCTGTAAGATCTTGCTTCACTTCCAAACTCCTGATGTGCAGATTTCATGTATAGCTGAAAACTGCACTTCATAACTGGAAGCATAACTATCATTAGCTCCACAAGGCACAGTGAAAGTTAAGACACAAGTAACAGGCAAGTTTCCAGAGCAGCAGTTTTCAGCACCTGATTGTCATTGCATCAGTGTCAGCAAGCAGTAAAGCAAAGGTGTTTGTTTGGACACCAAGTTAGTGACTCAAAATGAGTATAAAATGTTGAGAGTTTTAGCAGTGTGTCTAAGGAGATGTAACTTCCCCAAGTGAGCAAAAAGTTCTCATGGCAAGGAGAAACAACTCTGAAAAGGAATGCCTAGCTTCAGAGAGGGCAGGCTGTGGCTCCCTTTAAAAAAGGATGAAATCAGACTGAGAATATAGAAACTCTTCAGACCAGTTTTATTTCAGTGTGAAAACATCAAGAGCACAAGCCCATAGCTTTAGGATATATATGAACACATTAATTGTACTGATGGCACAGGGAATGTATAGTGAAAGGAGTAGCATGCAGTCATGCTAGAATAATATCAACTATACATTTTAACTCCTAAACATATACTTTGCAATAATGCTGATATTTAAATTCTCTTAATGGATTGAAGCACATTTATAAAATCAGTGATGGCAGAAAGACTTGTACTAGCAACCAAAATTTTACAGATTATTTGCACTTTACAGTAGTTTTCCTTTGAAGTAGAAAGTGAATGTTCATACAGCAGGATTACCAGAGGATCTCAAATGATTATGACTGTGCCAAATAAAATGTATATATGTGAATATTTCTGTGGATACATATGGAAAGTTTATAATGACCAGCCACCTCTGAAAACTTTTGGACTTTACAAACTTGCTAGTTACGTTAAAAATTTAATCAGCAATACACAGAACTAACTAGAAGCAGATCGGAAAGTAACATCAAAGTTTGATGTACATCATCTGTTTATTTTTCAAGAAGAGTAGATAAATCTTAAGACGAGCTGAAATCAGTCATTTGAAGTATGACAGCCTTCTCTCAAAATGCATGTGAACAGAGATGGGAGGATCTGTACTACTAACCTTCTCAGTAACACATTTCAAAGATAGTGTGAGAATTTACATAGGCAATCTACTTCAAATACAGTTTCTATCTTTTCAGCAAGCAACTTAGATCCTTTCAGTCACACTACTTTTATCAAACAATTTCTGTAGCAATAGGCTTTCAAATAATCAGACTGGCTTCATACACAGTGAGATTGAAGTACGCTTATTTTCAGAAAATAATACCCAGTAAAAAAATGTGCTTTGTTTGTTAAATCTCTGACTCCCAGAGCAAACACAGACAGCAAGTAAAATTATGCGTATTACAATAAATTGATTTTTTCCCCACTGACTAGCAAATTCAGACCAAATTTCAAACATGATGTTATGTGTTTTCTTGTGTATGTATTTTAATAGCTGACACACTTTTGAATATTTAAATCCTTGATTAGCAATACATCTCAATTACAGACTTAATTCATGCTCTGCGCTGACATTATCTTCTATTCTCCCTGTCTTCAGTAGCCACCTTTCCCCCAGCTTTTGTCCCAAAGAAGTGAGAGAAATTTTCCTTCCTAGAGAGTTTTTCCACTATTTAGCACAGTTATATCTTCCCCTGAAGCATGTGCAGTTGGCCATTGTCACAGAAGGATTAGGTGGATACTCTGCTGCTAGATAGTGTTAATAAAAATACCACGGGTAAACATCACTACCGAAGTGCAGTGTGAAGGTTGTCACCTCACTTGTATTCATTAGGTTAATACTATGACTTAAAATCCAAGAAACAGTCAAACACTTACAGTAGGTGTTACCTTGACCCATCATTTTGTAGGACTATACAAAATGAGGTCACTTTACTGTATGTTTGTTGACATCAGGGATATTCTGATATTTTTCCTGGTGATGATGACTAGCAAAAAATGTTTAATATAAGCATTTAATGCAAGCTTTTAAACTGGCAGCAAATATTTGCAAAGCACTTGGGATCTTTAAATGCTTAACCATCTAAATGCCATTTGATTTGCTACAGAACATCCATGTTTAGCCAGGACAGGAATCCAACCTGTCCCATATTTAAGTCTGATCATTAAGTAACCGAATCAATCTCTTATTCTTGTTAGAAGTCAAATACATATCTATAACAGCTCTACTTGGTTTAGGAATTTTTCCCATGCTAGGTTTTACATGCCTTATTTTTCTTTTTTAGGTCAGCTTCTCAAAGTACAATAGATAAAATTAAAGTTTTCAGAGCTTGGGAGCTTAATCCTGGAACACTTAACGGTATTGCTATGTTAATTAGGAGTGATGTAGGGAATCTCTTGTTCAAATAACTACATATTGATTAATTATCTAGTTTGTGCATTTTGTGCCACAATTTCAACATACACATTTGTGTATGAAGAGGAAAGATTTCATTACCTGAGATTTGAACATGATATTTTTCCCAGGCAGAGCAAGGCAGTTATGTAATTAGTTTTCCAAAAATCTATTTTCCTTTAGAAATAGTATTTTTATAGCACTTCAGTTCCTGATTCAATTCATCCACAAAGGGATTTTCTCTCCCATTAAAGCAATGATGGCAGGTATATGTACGTGTGTGTCTGCATTTGTATTCCAAAAAAACCAAAACCAAAAACCCAACAACACTGATATGAACAACAGTTCAGTATCATTTCACTCCTCAACCAATATTACTTTCCCTCTGGTATATTCTGCTTTCCTGATACTAGATGCTGTTTCATCTCTGATTTTAGGAACAGAGCTGAGGTGTGGGAAAGGAGAATAGCTGCCATAGACTCTATAATCCACTGAAATAGAGGCAGGTAGTAATAGAACTTCTAGGGGGTGATTTGGATTGCTGGGTAGTAACTGGCACAAAACAATCAGCCTTGAGTCTACATTTGGAGGATATATATGGAGATTTTTTTTTCAGGAAAGCTGATGGTGAAATGAGTGACATACTTCTGGGAAAACATGTTTTTGAAAGATGTAATAATGTAAGAATTAAATAAAAAAGAATAACAACAATAGCAGTGCTTCTGTTAGTTCTAGATAGTTGCAAATATGAAGTTGTTCAGGTCAGTTATACTGTTTCATACATACTATTTTTTAGCAGAGTGATCTTCCAGAATGGCCTTTACAACAGAGTAGATATTTTTGATAGTGACTATAAATCATGTACTGTCCAACTTTAATTGCAGTTGTCATATAGGCTTACAGCTATAGTAAGGCAAATCCAGGAAGATACAATTTGAACATTGTTTGGTTTTTGTGACTATCTATATATTTAAAACAGCAGTGCAAAACTGTTTCCCTAAATATTTGTGTGTTCCTTGGTGTGGAGGGTATTTCTTCTCTTTCTTTAAAAAAGGAATAATAATCAGAAACACAATAATAGTAGAAGTCAAAATATTGCAAAATGCTAGATATTTTAAGCTTTTAGTGCTAAGTATTACGATGTTCAAATCCTGAAATACTTATTAATATTTTTTAGAAATTAAAGAGCAATTGTTTAAGCTTAACCAAAGAAAAATGACAGTTCACAATATACAGAAGAGTGACTCACTAAACCAATATCATTCTCTGTTTTACAGCATTGTCTGCACATTTTCGGGTCTGCGAGCCATATACAGACTACAAAGGTCGCTACCACTTTGGTTTTCACTGCCCACGTCTTTCTGACAATAAATCTTACATCTTTTGCTGTCACCATAACAACACAGTATTTAAATATTGCTGCAATGAGACAGAATTTCAGACTGTTATGCAGATGAACCTAACAGGGAATGCAGATGGATATATGCATAAGTAAGTAAATGAGTTTTAAAGTACTCTTCACTAAACTGTTCTTGATTTAATAACATACTCTCAGGTGTTCTTAATGATGGAAGCAATTAGAATAATTGTACCTAGATAGAAACATTGCTAAAAGGCTTTTGCTATTACAGACATTTTCTAAAGGACAGGATATGTTACCTTTGCTTTTACTATAGACATTGCTAGGGGAGCATGGATGTAAATTTATAATAAAATTTATCTCACTCACCTCAAACTAATCCAAGCTATGTCGAATGTGCATCAGTCAAAATACACCACAAAAATGTCAGCAGGGGATAAAGGGACAGAGCTGACATAGCCCCTACAAATCTAAATGTTTTGCATGGTCACTATTTTGAATCTCTGCATATTTTGCATAAAAATCTCTTGTAATCACTGACCTTTGGAAATAGGATATACTTGCTTGTATACCCATGTTGTATGGTCTCCTTGCCTGTTACCTGAAATACTTTGCTATATATGAATATCTTCCATGCAATTCGGGGCCTGTCTTCAAAGCTTTTGCAAACTCTTTTTTTTTTTTCTCCCCAAAGCACTTATAAGTAGCAAGTAGATCTTCATTACTGTTTGCATAATTATGATGACAAAATCTTCACTTGTGAGCTATTTCCTTTTTACTGTTCCATGTTCTAGCCGCATCGATCCACTCTGATTTCTGTGGTGGAGAGGGCAGCCTTCATCTGGTGTAAACCCCCAGGTGTGGTTTCTGGTCAACTGTTTTCTCCTGCCATTTTATTCTGGTCTCCAGGCACTCCAGGGGATGGAGATGGCAGATTAAACATGACTGGAATTCCAGTCTATTCATTTCTAGCTACTACAGGGGTTTTAGTGCCTTCTGCCATGCAAACGTTAGTTGGGCTTTTATCATTCTTTTCTATATAAGCAGATGCGAGGCACCTAGATTTGCTGGAATACTGATGTCATCTATTTCAAGGCACAGTGTGGAGCTGTGCCCAACTGCAGCCAGCTTACAGACAGCTGTCTTCCTTAACAATTTTCTCTCTTCCGGCTCGGCTTAGTAAAGCTTGAGTTTTGTGTAGGTACAGAAGCTGCATGCTTTAACTTCCATAGTTGCAGAAGTGACAGTCAACTAGTCATACTGGTGTTAAGTTTTTATACTATGTAGTATAAAAGAAAGATAAAAATAAACTCTATACCCATATAAGATACTTTCAAACCAAGTTGTTCCTATACTTGTTGCAGTGTGCTTAGCCATGCACTTGAGGTCAAACTCATGCCTGGGCCCTGTGGAGCCTAGGGGAACATCATGGGAACTGGTGGGTATCCAACACTGGGGAGATGCTTCAGGTCCAACAGGAGCAGTAAGGGTGATTTGGTTTTCTCTGGGAAAAGATATCCATGTTCTTAATGAGTAAGATCCACCTCTTGCTTTGGAACAGCTCACAAAGTGTATACACGTCTCTTCCATACAGAATATTTTTGTGAGCAGTATCTACCTACTGATCTTTTGCCAAGGCAGATGAAAACACGCTAATACAACAAAATGCTTTTGGAGGTGTAGCATAGAGAAGTGTAGGAGAGAAGCCAGTGTTCCCTTCATGTAACTTCCTGAAACATCAGCTTTTGGTAAATCAGTCAGGGTCACGAAAACAGAGAGGAGCTAACTGCCAGCATCAGACTCTACCAATGCAGTGAGGGAGAGGGAGAAAGCTCTCTTCCCTCTGAAACTGGTGAGAGATTTCCCAGGAATTTCAGACACAGTATGGAGAGGCAGGAAGAAGTGAAGTCTAGATGCCTGCACCAAGACTACAGTAATAAGCATCTTATTAGAACTTAAATAAACTTAAATAATAATACGTGTAAAATAAGTCAGTGTGTGGTAAGTATGTCCAGGGTTCACTTTATAGTAACAATCTCCCGTATGCTTTATGAAACAAAATCAGCTATTTATTTAGATCCAATTTCACACACCACTGAAAAAAAGATTTTGGTGAAACATTTTGCATTGTACCTGTGGAGAATGATTTAGGATACGGGAATAGCAATGAACTGAAAAAAAAAAAAAAAAAAAAAAAAAAGATTATAGCTTTAATGTAAGAGTGATTCAGTGTTGTTGTTTGGTTTATTTTTCCCCCTAGCCATTCTTTTGATTATCAAAACACATTTCTTGTTGTACAGCTGAGGGAAAAAAATTAATGAAGTGACTTGTAAATTCCTTGCCATGGTAAGGATGAAAAATCATATTTATCTTCTGCAGTTCCATAATATGCCTATATTTAATTATTTTCTGTTTTTCCATAAGTAAATATTCGTATGGCTTTGTAAGGGGATACACTGGGTTATATGTATATATGTGTGTGTGTGTGTGTATCTTTGTTATCAAGCAGATAAATCAGTTCACAATATTTGTGAATGCCAACAGTTCATTCATTAAAAAATATAGAAATACCAGTGATGTGTAACAGCCAAGAAAAGTTCTGCCATCCAAAGTATATTTGCCTGAAATTTTGTCTATTAAATTTAATTTACACTTTCTCAAATTAACTATTATGCACATTTTGATGAGTTTCAACAATAGTTCTGTGTTAGGGGTCCTTAATCTGCTACTTGGACAGCATTATGGCAGCCTGTAATGTATCCATTTTTTTTTCTTATCTCTTATTCTAGTTTTTTCAGGGCTGAATGGCTTTTGCACACCATATTACAGCTTTGCAGAGGAAGTAATGTGAGGACAGAATATCACTATCTTCTCTTTGTGTAGCACATCCCTTGCAGAACTGGCATTTGCTTGAATCTCCCAGAAAGTCCACTCTGCAAGAAAAGGGGAGGGAGAAATCTATTAAATCTACCAGCATCTGCTCCTAAAACATGCAGTTTAACTGGAAAGCACTCTTAGGTATACCACGATGGTTTCTCCAGGAAAAACATTAGTTCGGTCAAAGGCCTTTACCTAATAGTAAATGTTAAAAATAAATTTTATAAGTTTGTATGTAAAAAGTATATAGTGCTCCTCAGCAATACAAGTACCAAGGGATTTGCTAGACATGTGACTGTGTTTGCTCGGGACATCCGTTGTGTGCTTCTATAGCAAGTAGCAGTGTTAAGAAGAACAGGAAAAGAAGCAGCTTCCATGACTGTCTGCCAACATATATAATTCTGCAGCTGTAGAATTCTGTTTGCAAGTGTTTTGATTTGATGTTTTTTAAAACCCAAATTGCCAAATGAATTATCTTCTGTTCATGTAAAACACACAAAAATCAACACATCCTTTTTAAAAATAGCCAGGCCAAACCTGTTTGTCATCCATCTCAAGAAGTTAATGAAATAGTTGGAAGGAATTACATGGATAAGAATAATAAAAGGAATTGTCTATTTTCATTTTTGTGTTGGGTTGACAAAGCAATCTAAGTAGGATTCTGTAAATGGAATAGGATGAGATGTGTAAGAAAAATATTCCTGTTCTCAAAGGCTCCTTGGAGTCGGAGCAAATCTTTCCATTACACAAATGTGCTTTGTAGCAAGTCTATAGCCTATCTACACCATATTGCTACAAAAATCAAAGTGTCTTAAAATCATGGTCTTCTAGCAGGCAATAAAGTAATGAGCTTTTCTAAGAAAAAGATGCATGACTTATGTGTACATAGAGTCTAAAAGGAAATTGTTATGTAATGTTTACCCCAGATTTGGCTTTTCTATTTGTGTGCTAGCAGGAGCAGAGAACTTTGAAAGTCATTTCTTACACTACAGAAAGTTATGTTGAACCTAAATGGAAATCTACAAAACGACAAATTAGCAGGGTGGGGGAGTTAGGAGGAATGAGCAAGTTTTATTTTTGCAGATGTGAAGAGAAGATGCAACCACATCAAAACTTTTTTTTTTTTGTCTTACTTGATTCTGTCCATGAATGCTTAAAAACCCCAAATTTGAATCTAAGTAGATTTGGAGTCAATTCACGCTTTATTTTAATTGAAATAAAACTTTTGTGCAAAAGCTCTGAGTGAATCAAGAAGTAAGATGAAACTTATAATTAAACAATTCAGTTAAATGAAATGAAAGCAAGTCCTACGTTATTGTATTCCCATTTCTTTGCCAGGTCTCTGGCCCTATGGTCAATTAGTGTTCATTTTCTACTTAAGGTATTTTCTTAATTTGTAGGTAAGTTTTATTTATTAATATAATTAGTAACCATCAGCAAAATTAGTATTTTGGAACATGTTAATAATTTGAGTAACAAAAAAGATCAAGGTATGGAATTTTTCTCTGTGTGCAAAACATACCATTTATTTAATTTTGCTTGTGATTTTTCAAAAGGCCCTTTTGATACTGCTGTTGTCCCGCTGTCTGTTAATTAAAATAAAGCAGTCTTTCATTTTTGTACTTGTAAGAAACAGATGTTATTTAGAAGGAGCAGATGGAGGACTCACATATGGCCTGATTAATAAACTGTTGCTTTAAATTGGAACACCCAAAATAGCTCTGATTTTCACTTTGCAAAATTTTGATGGGTAAAACTAAGTGCCTAAAATACAAACAAATTATTCTGAGGCAACTGTAAAGAAGTGTTCCTTCCTCTCAAACTGTTGCCAAAACAAAAGCGGTATCATTTCTGATATTTCTGTTTTCACAATGGATTAAATACAAGTCACCTGTGCATGAAATGTATCCTACTAGTGACTTGTCCCAGTGAATTTCTTCCTGAGAACTAGAGAACTCTCTATACTATTTACATTAGTAGTATATAGAAGAGTTTAAATAAAATCCCTAGTAACACTACTGAGAAGCCTGGTATAACCAAGTTATGTTATATGTGCTATATGAGTGCTAAGGCTGCAAAGACTTTAATGCATTACCAAGACCTACTCACGGTTGCAGGAAGTTAGGCACACATGGATAAGTCTTACCTTTAGGTAAGAGTTTTCAGAAATTTACTGTATAATCCTAAAGCTACACAGGAAGGACCCATTAGCAGGTCTGATTTTCCTCCATTAATGTCAGTCATTTTCTCACTTAACTGTCATTTAATTTGACAGAGTTCTGTCTGTGTCTTGGAAAGGAGATTCACAGGAGAAGGAGAATCAGTCTCACTAAGTGTTGATGGGCAGCAACAGAGAAATGAAAATTCCAATTTCTTATCGGATTTCTTATTTTAAATCCTGGTGGAGTTTTATTTATTTATTTATTTTTAACTGTAAGTGAAAGTTGTGCAAAATGTCAAGCTGAACTGAAGGGTCAAGGTGAAGTCTTGAAAAGTTTTAGGTCTGAAAAGTTTTGCCCTTATTGCTTTTTTCACCTCTTTCCTGTCCCTATCTTTTAATATCTTTAATCACCTGTCTTAGCTTTAAAACTGTGAGCTACTCTAACGAACAGTAGCTAATAGTTTTCACTGTCTTACCCCTTCCATATATTTTAGCATGTACATATAACCATAGTACATATTTTTCTTCCTGTTGAATTGATTCTGTAATACAATCTCGTCAATATTCTTCCTTTCTGAATTTATTACCAGCAAATTAAGGGATCTTCAGCAATTGCTCGTGAAAGCCTATGATGCTGATGATAAATGTTTCTTCTGTGTCCAGCGGTGATTATTAAATTCAAAAGCAAGTTTAAAAGAGCAGGGAAAAAGGTTTAAGAAAATTTAGTTATAGTACCTGTCAGCAATGAGTGCTTTCATTGATGTAGGCGCAACTGCAGGCTCAGTTATTACAGCAGATTTTCCTATAACTACTTGTGGAAAAGTCCACGAGTCAGTGGGATGATAGAGTGACTCTCTGAGAGTGAGAGCTTACAGAATAAAAGCCACTGGGCCCATCAAGTGTGTGCATATCAGGCCTCACTTTTAAAGTATTGAAATTAATCATATATCAAATCTATGAACTAGTAGTGTGTATATAAAAAAAGTATCTGCAGGACAAGGGAGGGCTTTGTTTCTATGTCCCATGCCATGCATACAGCAGTGTATAGATGAATTAAAATAAGAAATATTTTTAAATAAAGCACTCTTCAAAATAAAATGTAGTTTTGTCCACCTGTGTGTGTTTGTATATGTATGTGTGTATGCATATGTGCATGTTATATTTACGTACATATATATAGTGTATATATATGTATATGGTGTATATATGTATATACATATATAAATGAATCAAATAACCAGCTAATGTAATGACTACTGTTGATGTATTAGATGACTTTTTTGTTTTCCCTTCTTCTTCTTTCATAGCAACTACAGTGCACTGTTAGGAGTGTGGATCTATGGCTTTTTTGTGGTGATCTTGCTGGTACTGGACCTTTTATATTACTCTTCAATGAACTATGATATTTGCAAATTTTACCTGGCACGGTGGGGAATCCAGGGAAAGTGGATGACACACGGACAGAGCCGATGGATTAAGCCTGCTCAGGATCCAAGCCAAGTACAGACACAGCCTCAGCCAGAGACACAGCCTCAGCCTCAAACTCAGCCTCAGCCTCAAACTTCTCAGACAGTACATACTTTAAAAGGAGATGCTGTAAGCCCACCCCTGATGTCTTTTCAGGGTACATCTGCCTGGTAAGTTATACCATACTGTGGTCTGTTTTTTAATCTATCACCTGTATTTGGAACTATGACTGCAAACTCCGCAGTGCTTAGTGGCATCATTTGAGTAGCTGGAATCTTTATATTATATAGCATCTTACAGAATTAGGATTGGTTCTCTATTCTGAAATACTTTAAGTCATATTTCAGTACTGGTGTCTTGGAGAAATAGGTACTGCCATTTTTCAGGGGTAAGTGGTTTTGCTGCACTGTAGTTCAAATAAATGCAAAAAGTCTTTGTTTCTACATTGAAGAATATAAAGTTACTTTGAATTTGGTGTCAAGGACTAACGTGTGTGTGTTGGTTCAAAGAGTATATGTATAATAGCACTGAAATAATTTCAGTTTCAGAAATCTACAGTATTTGTAGCATTGGACACAGAAACAACATGAAAATCAGGTTAATTTTTTATTTGTATAGCCAAAGAAACAAGGTTTAATCTCATTTGACAAGATGACACAAGTAGGATACTATAAGGTTTGCCACCAAAAGCCACCAAAAAAAAGCATGTCAGATTCATACATGTTTCGGAGCATGAATTGGAGAATTTAAATGCAGATACAAAAATGGCATTGGCGTTGGATGTGGGACTAGAAGCATTCCCAATGGCTGAGGGCTAAGTTTTGGCAAAATATGGTGAAAAATATGGCAGGATTTCCTGATGCTGTAGAGCATGTAAAGCCACTATAATAATCTAAAGATCTGAAAGCCTTGGGTAGCATTGTGTTGCGAATAGGATGATGATACTAGTTTTTCTTTTACTGTGTGACTTGTTTAATTTTAAATGTAAATCTAGATCAGAAAAGGGTTTTAGTATTAGTAAAGGTAGTGACAGAATGACCATGGACTAGAATCAGTGAAAGATTTGGTCATTTAGCCCAAATATATTATTGGATGCTTTTATTCAGTGCTGCTTTGAACATTATAGCAGGCCTTGTCTGAGAGCTCAACAGTACTGATAAAGCTACTCACAGGGGAGAATTGCTTGTGTTTTGTTATGACCACAGGGAACCTCATGATAGCTTGTACTTCGTGTCCATTCACTTGTTTACTTGAGATCCCTTTGCTTGTCTAAAATGGATCCAGTCCTGACTCTGCTTACACAGCTTCCATTTTCTAAAGGATTTCAGCACTGGGGATTGGATTCTGTATAGAATTAAATGACTCCTCTTCTGGGCTGAAAGTGCTTTCTCCCGCTGTACATGCACATAGTTGATGTGAAAAATCCCAGTGCCTGTTTTGGTTTGCATTCAATGAAATGTTTAGGTCTCAGTGTCGGGATCACAGATAGATAGAAAAAATATAAGCTCCTGGAAAATGAATATATTTCTCAGTAACTAAGTTAATGACAGAAGAATAGCACTATAGTGAACTAGAGTCTGCATAAAAATGACAGCCCAAATAAAAGGTGTTTTTTTTCATGATGCTTTTTTTTTAATGATTTGTGTGTGCATGCACTCACAACCTTTTAAACTGTTACTTCCATGTGATGCTAGCATGGACTTTTATTTACTTCATGTATTTTTAAGGAAAACAATCTATGGTGGAATAGTATTTATGCTTAAGTATTGGCATTTACATTTATAGTCATATTTAAAGTAAATACAGCTATCAATATATGAACATTGAGAAAATGAAACAATACAGCTGTGGGCCCACTCAGTGTGACTGGGCCAAGAATTGTTTTTCAATTTTACCACTGCAGTCTTGATTCACGCCAAAACCTTCCAAACACTTTAGTATTGTGATTACTTAAAACACTGACTTAAAGTGGAATGACTGTAACTGTAGAAACAAACCTTCGCCCTTCTCCTGCTGCCCCTCTTTGTTGTCCTATCCTCCTTTCCTCTTCTTCCCCACTTCTTCCTTTCTCCTCTCCTCATCCTCCATACCCCTTTCTCCTCATGTCATCCATTCTTCTTCCTCTTCTCTCTGTTCTGCCCCCACTTTACTTTCACTTTTCCATAATTCTTTCTTCCCATTTTCTTCTATTACTCTTCTTTTCCATTTTTTCTGCCTCTCCTTTTTTTTTCTTCTCTTCACACTGTTTTTTCTTTTTTATTGTATTTTTTCGTCCTTTTTTGTCATCTTTCCTGCTCTACTCCTCCTCTTCATTTCTTCTCTTTATCTTTTCTCCTCTTCTTCCTCTTCTCTCAATCCCTGCAGCTTTTCGCACACTGAATTTCAAGTGTTCAGTCAGAAATTCAGTCAGCTGGTTCAGTCCTGCCAGATAGGACTAACGTTCTCAGTAGAATAATTGTATCCTAGTTTAATGTGTGTGTGTGTGTGTGTGTGTGTGTGTGTGTGTGTGTGTGTGTGTGTGTGTGTGTATAAAAGAGTGGCTGCATATAGGTAGGTAGAATTAAAATGTTAGGCCTTTTTAAACTAGTCACTAGTCTTGTTATATAGCATTACAAATTAAAAGAAAAGCTTCAAACATTTTTACAGGGTTCTTGCTCACTTTCCATTACTAACATTTTTGTTCTGTTTGCATTTTTTTTTGAAGCATTAAGCGAGGATTGTATGTTAGGATCAGGTGAGCATGTCCCATATGTCCTTTTCCTGTGATTGCAGGAGATGGGCATTGATAAGTCTCTCCAGTAACCTTAATTCTCTTCCCTACTGCCCTGTCTGTGCTTCCTTTCATTCCTATAACGTTATTTATTTTCTTCTAATAGCTTTTATTGCTCAATAGTAGAACCAAGTAGGTGTTTTCTTTAGCAAATCCATACTTACTCTTTGAATTTCCTGTAAGACGCTGCAAGAGATGCCATATTTTCAAGCTTGTAACCTGCAACTTCAGGAACTTACAGTCCTCTAATTAAGTGCATAGATATCTGAAAATCTGAGCTGGACACAGAAAAGGTACACAGAAAAAGCAGCAGTCATTGGTCATCACAGGCAAGGTGTTTAATGTGTGGAAGAGGTTTTTGAGTATACAGTTCCCTCAGAATTATCAGACTACGTACTACAGCAAGTGCTGAGTCACTAAGGAGTCGGGCTATTTATTTCTCTCTTAAGATAATCTGCAGGTTATGCACAAGAAAATATGGTAATTTTGCCATTATAAAGTGTAGTTAAGTGAAGTTTCAGTGTCTGCTTCGGCAGCAGCCTGTATTTATTGAATGGCCTCAGTATTCTCGCCTTAAAATCTAATCATGCGATCAGTGAAGAATTGCAATGAACTTAACAGATTTATCACTTTCATCACGAGTGATGAAAGCTTCTTTGCTCAAATTATTAATATATTTTATTTTTGTATTTTATATTTGAATATTTGTTATTCCAGACGATGACACCAATGTCTTCAGATGCTTTGGTAATCGCAGCATTCAAGTCTATAAACTAACGTTTTCCATTTGTTTGGGCATTTATAGACTACCCTGAGTTTATCCCTGCTTTCCCCACCATAAAAAAATAAACATTTTTCTTCAAACACACATGCACACACACAGACACACATATACTCGTAGCGATATATAAAGGTGGTGTCTTACCAGAAATATAGTTCATGTTTATAGATGAGTTTCTGTCAACTCAGCAACAACAAAATATTTTCTGAAAATAAAAAAATAATTTTGTAATCCTGAGACATGCATATAAACCAAAGAAAAAAACCTTACATACTGCTAAAACATTTTACCCAAAAGTTCAGAAGTTTTCATGACAGAAATGCTGCATTCACAGATCCCTCACCTCCAGTTTCATAGATCCTATATTCTATATGTGATCCAACAATTAATATTTGGTCTCTGAACAGTTATACAACAGTAACTTCAAAATAACAAACTGTTTGTACTGCAAAGTATAAATTGACTTTATGCAAGTACTCAAGCATTATTCAAACCAGGAGGAAGGGAGGCCATTTGGAAGGTGTTTTTTTTTTTTTTTTTATTCCAGTAGTGCATTGATCGTTGAACAACTTTCTTTTTATTCATAGAAAAGGATAATTTGTGGTCTGACTTGGATTCAGGACTTTTATCCTGAATAGAAACAAAAATAAGAGAATATATTAGAAATATATATAAAAGAAATATAATAGAAACAAAAATCAAGTTTACCACAGGATTTGATTAGGTTTATGGCATTTCCCCTGTTTCCTTTTCTCCATTTTATGAAGTAATTGGTTGACATATATGTAATTGTTTTGTTTTTTTCAGAAGCACACGAAGATATGAGAAAAAATACTTTTAACTTAGTACAAAATAAGATATATGCCTACTTAAATTGCCTGCTTACTTACCTACTTCTAGTCAATTAAATCAGTAGAAAACTGAGGCCGTTCAACATTATGGATTGCTGAAGAATTACTCACATCATATATGGTCATGTTCTAAAATGCCTCCTCAGATGTTTTGAAATATTTGTTGTAAGAAGAGATTGCCCTCTTTGATTTTTTTTTAGTGTGAAGGAGGGAGCATTATTGGTAAATGTCAAGAACTCTGGACATGATGCTCTAAAACCTGTCATTGGATTTCTATTCTGTTTTCAAATTAGTATTGATTTATCACAAGAGTAATCATACTGAAACCACCATAACTCAGCTGACACAGAGAAGCCAAGCAAACCCACAGCCATAAGAAGAAAGTCAGCTACTCATTCATGTCACTTAAATTTGAGACTTAAGTTTTTACTCCTCCTCTTTGTCTTTGCTTCTTTCACTTAATGAATTTGTTCACTTCCTGCACTTATATTATGGCAGTCCCATACATGCCCATTGTAGAAGAAGCTACGCTAAGAGGATAGGAAAGTGCTTATCAGAGTCTCTGAAATAACACAGACTTTCTGCCTCCTTACTGCAGAGAGCTCGTATGTAAGAAACTGCCCCAAGAACAACAGCAGGATTAGCCTGTAGTTTGTAAAGACATTTGGGATCTTATTGCATTAAAAAAATTATACAAGTGTGTATTATTTTATGATTTCATTTCTTTCCTACAGTTAAAATGCTTATGAAACCAGTAACTGAAACAGA